TTCCACAAGTGCTCGGCTACAGCATTGATGCAAATCTAAAGGTAAAATACATGTTAGTACGAAAGTTCTTCACTCATGCAGCTGCAGCAGCCCTTTTGGCGAAGGCACCGCGGCTGTGGAGCTATCGGTATAGTCGGCTTGAACATCGTCTGCACGTGCTAAGCTGTCAGGGTCAGCTTTCCAAGCTTGCGGGCGCCATGGCTTTGGGGGCTGATGCCTTCAGCCGCAGATTCTCATGTTCACGGCTACCGGCACAGCTGAAAACAGCTGGGTTTGCAGGGCTCTTTAGACTTTGAGATGCATCTCTATCTTGAATGTCTATACCATGGAAAGCATTTAGACGCAGTTACCGGGCCTTTCTCTTGCCGAGTGGGGTTCGAAGAAGTCAAAGTTGTTGTTTCTTCAACGTTTGATGGCCTGTCTGCCAGGGCCGGTACTTTTTTGTATCGGCTCGTGCATTTGAGATCCTACCCTGCGCCAGTCAGTGGGTTTGGGGCTTAGGCAGTTTAGGATTTAGGTTTAGGGAGTCGTCCTGGATGCAAAAGGGAGTCGACAGTCCCCAGCTCCGGAACTGAACATCTGTCACTCTCAGGGTAGTCGCAAGTAGACCCGAAGCCTTTGGCCTCCCAAGGTGTGCAGAAACAGGCCAACGAGCGGCTCATGGAAGCTTATCTGAGTTTAGGCTCTCGGGTTTTAGGTTGAGGGCTTTAGGTTCATCCCAAAAGGGTAAATCTGGGTTGGTCGGAGTTTGGTTTTAAGGTTTCTGGGTTTCCGGGTTGGGGTTCAAGAAGTTCTATGTGGTTATGACTCGTCCTGACGAATGTTATTAGTTTGGGTTTCTATCTTATTTCAGTTGTCGTGGTGACCGGTATTTTGGTTGATACATATATAAGATGATGGGTTGCTATGATCGCTCCGCTAAAGTGCGTCATCGGTAGTGGAAGTGGAAGCAGTAGTGGTTGTGGTGCTGGTGGTGGTACTGGCAATGTAGTCGTCGTGGTCATCGTTGTCGTCGTCGTTTTGGTTGGTGGCGGCTGCAGCAATTCTATTTGCCGTGGCCTTTGTATGCACACGAAGATTTCGGCGGCCAGTCTGTTGACAATGAAGAAGGAGACTGACTGGCAGCTGTGGTTGTTGTCTTCCTCATATCTGGTGACCCTGGTGCCACCCTTAGAGGCAAACCTTTCCACGTTCGTTGGATTGATCGCTGGCATTTCCCCGGCTAGCCCAAACTTTCAATGGGAATGACAGCTGGAACTTCATGATTGTTTTGGAGCTTGAAACTGCACTCACCCCAAACCCTAGCTGCTCTAGCTGCCCTGGCTTTGACCTAAATCCGCAACTGCAGCCGAGGAAGTGAAACCGCTCATGGTCACAGCCGCTCATCTCAAGAGCCTCCAAAAGGGTAGGCAGGATCAGGATTTATTCAAACAACGGCTTTCATCCTGCCGCTTTTTGCCCTCTGATCCTGGCAACTGGAGTTTTTCGGGTTGCAAGCTCTGGATGTTACCGGGTGCTTGGAGGTTCGAGGTGAGCCTCACTCGGGGATAAAAGCGGGCTCACGCTCCACAAGATGGTGCCAGTTGTTGTTTGCAGGGCCTTCAGAATCAGCTGTGATGCTGCTCGTGGAGAAGATGAATGCTGGCGTTCAAGGATTTCAGGTTGTGGCCCCGCAAGGCTTCCGGCCCTGACAACGGAATTAAGCTTAATGCGTTATCCATTTAATCCATCTACATCCCCCCCCAAAAAAATCAAAGAGCACATATAAATCCGAAACCCCAAAATGCCTCTGAAAACGCAACGACAAGAACCAATCGAACAGCAATGCCTAAGACCACCCAGGACGTGAAAGCACTCGGGGTCCTGTCTGCGGATGTGCGGAGCGAGCTCCAGTTCGAACTCTGCCAGCCATACTTGATGCGCCACTGGGCTGGCTTAGAGGTCTGAATAGTTTTCAGGCGTTTTGTAGGGTTCAGGGTTGAGAGAGAGAGAGAGAGAGAGAGAGAGAGAGAGAGAGAGAGCGAGAGAGAGAGAAAAAAAAGAAGCAAAAGTTGGAGTTCCCTTTGGGTCCCATAAACTTCTCGTACAGCCTGCCCCCAAAACCCAAAAGGCTATGCTAGTGGGTTATTGAGGTTATGGCGTGGAAAGTGCAGGTTCCAGGGTCCAGGCCTTTAGGGTCCCGAACGGCTTCGATGCTGCTCGAAATCCCTGATCTGTGGTACCGTCCGTGCTTCGGACAGGGGGTCAATGATCTCTGTGAGTGTGTGTCTGTGTGGTGTTGATTTATTGCTTTCCTGTTTCATTTTTGCGTGTCGCAGCTACAAGTAAGAAAGTTTGTTGTAATATGGGGTCTCGGTCGGAACCACTAGTAGCTGCATTCCTTAGAGTTCCCTGATGGAGTTTTAGAGTATAGAGGAAATCCCAAAGTCCCTTGAATTCGGATTCCAAGATTTCGATCAATTTCGTTCTCGACAATCTGACTTAGACCACAACTTATGCTTTAGGTTAAAGCATTCCGTAGCATGATCTCATGTGATGTGAAACACGGATTGAAATCCAAACATACAGCAACAAGCCCCAAAGCTCCGCTGGACAAGCGCACAAAGCCGAGGCAATGGATTCTACAGAGTGTGCCTGCCTTGGCTACAGTTTGTGAATTTGGGATTTGGGGCTTTAGCCGCTTACACAGGGTTCCGGGTTTCCTTGCGAAGCGAGCTTGATGCTTTCAGGTTGGGCGCGTAAGATCCATCCAGCCTTGACTTATGAAGCTAGGGTGCTGAATGCAGCATTGCAGCTGCGCACCACACAATCAAGGCAGGTTGGATACCAAAAGCGGCTCAGGAGGTGATCCCAAATCCCTGTTCAAACGCTCAATTCCTGCCTTGACAGCAAGCCCTGATACATGTTGGGTTTAGGGTTTAGGTATTTGGCAGTTGTGGAAGGGTTTAGGGCTTTAGGGTCCGCCGTTTCCTTTCTTCGGGGGTTCCTGGCAGTCGCAATAGGCCTGGATGCAAAAGGTTGGATATAGCGTAAGTATATAGCTCTAGATGCACTCGAAAATCCGAAAAGCCCGAAATCTCCACTCATACCCGAAAACCTTAAAGCAAAAAGGCTCTAATGCCTGGTACCCATGACCATGAGCCGCGGGGTGTGTGGTTTGTGGGTCTGCGGCTCCACGACTTCGCAAGTTCAGGGCTTAGGGTTAGGTCTCTGTATCATGAAAGGCATGTTCAACTGGGCCTGGTGCTTTAGCGGGGCCAGGTCTGGATTTGTAGATTGTAGTCAGGAGTTGCGAGAATTGTGGCGATACTAGGGTTTGTGGACGCACATGGTGTTGACACTGAGCACACGATCAGAATCCGAATTATTTCCGGCGAGCTGGACGGGGGGGTATATTCAGAAATGCAGGATGTCATGCTTTACACAATTTGAGTGGTGAGCAGAAGCTTTGAGATAGGTTTTCGTAGTATCAACTCTCAAAGAGTGTGGCCTTTCAAACGTTAGCCTACTGCTCCTGCTCCTGCCCCTGTCCCTGTTCCTGCTCCTGCTGCTGCTTGTACTGCTACTGCTACTACTGCCGCTACTACCGCTTTTACGATACTATTACAATGTCCGCATCTATAAGTAGGGCGGTTCTCAGCCGTTAACTTCTATGCTTGCCTCCGACAAGAAGCTGGTTCCGATTGTGGACTCAAAGCCGAGTGGTGGCACAGACAAAACCCGGCCAAGGTGTCAACATGTGGAGCCGAGCGTGCTGAAAGCCATTATGGTCGAATGCATCAACTTCACCTTCTATCGGGCAGGCTGGTGGCCTTGTTCAGTCTGGCCTTACGCCTTAGCCCTCAAGCTTGTTAGCCCTACGCCATCGTAAGCCCCTCTAGACCTCCATCCCAATTGCTCCAAGCCACGTTGGCTTTCAGATTCCAGGCCTTGGGGCTGCAGGGCTTGGGGGTGAGGGCTTTAGGTTGTTAGGGTTCAGGGCTTCAGGGTTTCAGGGTTTAGGGTTTGGACAGCGGGTTTCACAATGTCCGGGTTTTGGGCTGCAGGGTTGTTACCGGCTAGAGCATGTGAGTGTTGCAGTGGCCCAAAGGCCCAAGGCCTAAGAAGGAAAGTATGATTGGCTCAAGAGCCGGTGATCGCATTTGGGCGATCAGGCAGTAGCGTCATCTGCCCAATTCAAGTACAACATACTTGTAACAAGGACACAGCTCGAGACGCAGAGCAGACACCGAGCAGTCCCCGCAGCTCGCGCTAATGCCGTGAACAGAACGAATACCATTGCGAATGGCAAAGCAAAAGTGTTAACGGATCATTGTTTACAGGAAGGCAGCAGTAGAACAATACCACGAAAGGCTGCCCTCTAAACTTCATCTTCTCAGTGGTGAAGCGCCTAAAAAGCTCGGCACTGCCGCGCAACAAAAAACTCATCCGGCTGGTCCGGCGAGTCCGAAGTTGAAAAATCAAGAACCCCAAACGGTGCCGTAAGCCGAAGATGCAAAAAGCATCCCTGTAAACTTACAGCCAGAAGGACCTCCAAAGCCTAGGCCCCCTTAAAAAGCCCGCAAGTAGAAGCCGCAAACTCCATCGCTGCCTTGGCAAGGCGAAGCTGCCTTCGAAGCAGGCCGTGCTTCTTCAGCTTGCCATATAGGGGTAGCTCTCTAAATTAGGGTCCCTTTTTAGGGTCCTTTTTGTAAGGGTGCCGTACTATGTTTGGNNCCCTAGTTTAGAGAACTACCCAAAGGCTCGGAATAGTTGCCAACATGATTCCTTCAGATTCCTAATTGATGTTTTCGTGTTCTCATTTGTAGACCCGAAATTCACGTGACACTAAACGGGCCCTAAACCCTAAAACCTATATGCCCTAAACTCTAAGCCATAGAGACTGTTTGCTCCCGGGCAGGTCTAGGGTGCAGATAGCAGATGCGGTTGTGGTTTTAGGCTTATAGTGCTTAAGATCAATGAGTACCCATCTTGGA